TCAGGAGGCTGAGGCAGGAGAATTGCCTGAACCCAGGAGGCGGAGGTTGCGGTGAGCCGAGATCGCGCCATTGCACTCCAGCCTGGGTAACAAGAGCGAAACTCCATCCCAAAAAAAAAAAAAATAATAATAATAATAATAATTCAGAGGTATCTCTTGTATACTTTGCCCCATTTCTCCCAAAGGTAACATTTTGCAAAATTATAGTCTAATATAACAGCATGAATATTCACTTTAATACAATCCACTGAGTTTATTCAGATTTACCCAGTTTTACTTGTACTCAACTGTGTGTTTTTGTATTAAGTTCTATATAACAAGTGAACATACTGAACAGTTCTAACATCACAAATATCCTTCAGGTAGCCCTTTTGTATTCACATCCACTTCCTTCTCACCTCTAACTATTGACAACCTCTACAAATAATCATTTAAAAAATTAGCCAGGTGTGGTGACACCTGCCTGTAGTCCCAGCCACTGGGGGAGACTGAGATAGGAGGATCACCTGAGCCTGGGAGGTCAAGGCTGCAGTGAGCTGTGATTGCCACTGTACTCCAGACTGGGTGAGAGATTGAGACCATGCCTCAAAACTAATAAATGTATAACTTAAATGTGACTTAACATCATGAAGTTTTTAAAAACAAAATTATAAATGATTTTAACACTTTCCCTTCATCATTAGCTAAGAAATCTTCAGAATAAACTTTTCATAAAAGAAACTTCACTGCAAAAGTTGAAGACTGAGCTAGAAAGTTACAAAGAAAAGAATGTGCAACAGTCGTTCCAGATAATGTCCCTGAAAGATAGTATCAAGGACCTACAGGAACTTATTGCTTCTCTCACCAGAATTAAGTATTTGAGAAACACCAATATTCAGAGCCTTGAAAGAGGCACCTGGGATTTAACTGAACGAATTATAGAACTGGAACACCGTCTAAGGTAGGAAATTTTCCAGTTTGTTTTCAAACATGTCTTTGGTTGTAAGCTTGCAAATAGCATATGAACTCCATACTCCTGATTGATCACAGAATTTAAATCTGTAGAACATCACTTAATACCTGACCCAACATTATTACATTTTTAAAGAAATATTTTGTATTGAGGTATAACTTAAATACCTCAATGGTGGCCTATGCCTATAATCCCAGCACTTTTGGGAAGCCAGGGCTGGTGGATTACTTGAGGTCAGGAGTTTGAAACCAGCCCTGCCAACATGGCAAAACCCTGTCTCTACTAAAAATACAAAAATTAGCTGGGCGTGGTGGTGTGCACCTATAATCCCAGCTACTCTCCTGAGGAGGCTGAGGCAGGAGAATCACTTGAATCCAGAAGGTATGTGACTCTGTCTCAAAAAACAAAATCCCCAGCCTGACCAACATGATGAAACCCCATCTCTACTAAAAATACAAAAAATTAGCCAGGTGTGGTGGCGGGCACCTGTAATCTCAGCTACTTAGGAGGATGAGGCAGGAGAATCACTTTAACCCAGGAGGTGGAGGTTGCAGTGAGCCGAGATCGTGCCACTGCACTCCAGCCTGGGTGACAGTGCAAGACTCTGTCTCAAAA